CAAGTAAAGCTTTTGAAACAAACTGCAGTTCGAGGATACGTAAAGGAGATGAACTGTAACTGTACATGTAAAAGATCGTCTCAAGACAAGTCTATCGACAGTTATCAAGCTGTTGAAACATGTAAAATATATCTACCCATAATCCTTGCCGGTGTCAGGTTTGTAGCTTTTCAGTTGACTAACGTTTTTGAAATAAATATGTACAAACAAAGTTTGCCGTTCTATAACGTCACCTACTATGGAATCGTTCGCAGGCCATCTGGTCACATTAACCCTGGTCAACCATCCCTGGATCTGTCCATCATCTTTCGCAGATCCAGTAAACTCTATTTCACGGATTTGGACAGTTCTAGAGAAATTTAGCTTCAGATATTGGTTTTGTGATTGGTCGTAAGAACACCATCCTTTCCTCGACATCTTTGCCTCTGACGCGGAGAAGTTGGAGAGTTTTTCTTCACTTGATGCACTGAATTGGCTCTTGTGGAAAGACTTTGTATTGATGAGCTGCGCTGCTTTGTGTAGAACTACAAAAACAATTCTGTATTACTAACATGTTGACTTTTTTAAAATATCTAATAATCTAAAAATTAAAATCAGTCGCATTTGAAAACGCCATGTTGAATTTGCGCCATATAAATAAATATTATTATTATCATATAATTATCCATAAAATACTTATATTTCTCTTTTTAGAAAAACTGATATTTTCACATGTGAAAATAACATGTTATTTTCACATGTGAAAATATCGTTCTTGTGTATTTAAGCTATTAGTTAGTTATTTATAATAATAAAAAGCTTAATAAATTGGTTTTATGGATAATTATATTATAAACAAAATATTACATGGGCGCTTGGAGATACGAATTTATCTTCGAGTGTTGAAGATCTCTCACTCTTTCGCTACGCTCACTCGTGAGAGATCTTTTCAACACTCGAAGATAAATTTCGTATCTCCATGTAATATCCTCTATTCAAACACACAAGACATATATATTTTGTCATAATTTTCTATAAGTAGTAAAATAACAGTTAAATTTGGTAAAATGTTAAGTGTTTACTCCATTTTCGGACCATTTTTTCCTAAAGGCTACATGATGAATACAACTGAACAGGTTCGATATATCCCCTTTTGATTGCAAAGACCAGTCTTATGTCAGGATTTTCATGTACATATTCATCGTCGTACTTGCCTCATGCCTATGGACTCAAATTATTAACTGGGATACCTGTGGAGGCAACCCAACCAAAGTCTAGACCCTATACCCATGCAATAACCTACCATCATAATAGAATACTTCAATATCGTCCACTGAAAACTCTGGTGAGCCTGTTAGTAGGTTTTGCGTCTCGCGAGATCCTCGTTCAAATCCCTGTGGTAGCTCGTATGACGTGCCCAAACCTATGGATGTACTGTACCGTTGAACTTTAAGATTTTCTTCGAAGCCAATCTGAAGATCCGGGCTAAAGACAGGTCCTTTGCTGTTATCGTTGTAGAGTGCTTGTTCGGTGTGTGAGTCATTGATCTTCATCTTGAAAGGAAGCTTGTTTGCTAAGTTTTGGATGCTAAAGAGAAATGTGCTGACACTTGTGATGTTTCGAGTTTCACCTTGAATGAATCAGATATTAGGAGTATGAATATTGACTTCTAAACTAAAGCACAGGTTGTCAAAACGCGTATATGTTTTACAAAGTCAACTTTTCTTGGGTGATCTCGTAATAAACCTCTTCGCCTTTGGCGTAATGTTTTTTTCATTTCAGATCACGTGTCATTCATTTAAGTAGAACATTCTTTACATAAATTCTATCCATATTCATGTGTCTTCTCATGTGCAGCAACCTCGAGAACCCAGGCGTAAAATTCTGTCGCTGGTTTCACGCGTCCAGAAACGAGAAACAAGCGACAGCATTTTCCCCCTGGATTCCTGAGCATGCACGTGCAACCGTTAAACAAAGAATCCTATTATCAAGAAAATGACACGTGGTCTGATAAATGAAGAACGTCAAGCACAAGCTAAAAGGGAGTCTATTTAATATTTACCTCCCCAGTTTTGATCACTAAAGCCTCCAAAAATAAACGTCCCTACTCGAATGAGAGTGATCGTTGGTCCTTTGTAATCACATCTTGAGTGGAAATTCTCTGCGCTGAATCCATCAGTATCACCATGGTAACATCGTCTCCACTTGGCATAATGTGGTACAACTCCTTCAAGCAGCTTGTCCATTGCAGCGAGATGATTAGCGTCACTGCCTAGAATCTTGGACAGAAATTTTTCTGGGGGAAAAAGGAGGTTAACACGTTCTTTACAATTTGTAGTAGTGCATGAGCATCGTAAAGGTCAACGGCGCCATGTTTATTCCCATGAGAATGAAAACCTTTTGTTAATTAAACCACGCGTAACCTCTTCCCAAAGCGAAGTCATCCGTAACATCTAGCCTCCTCCGCAGGCGTCTTTCGACTTTCTTTTCTTTTTTGTTGAATTGGGATTCCTGTGTCGCGAATTTGGATTCCAGTCGAAAGAGACTAGCCGCTAATTAGGCCCCTCTCCTCAGTCCCCCTCATCCTAAAGACACAGGAAGCCCAATACTCAAAAGGAGAGAAGAGACAAGAGAGATGTATGCGGAGGAGGCTATACGTAACATCATCCTGAAGCGCTTGAATGCCATGCAAACGCATTCATTTAACATGACTTCCGCGTTATTAAGGTCCATTATGGTCAAATAAATAACTAAATCAAGTTGAAACCTATAGCTGTATGTAGTCGATTCTTACCCACAAGTCTCGGGCTAATGAGGCTTTGATTAGCCACTGGACTAACAAATGGCACGAGAAAGGACACATACCTCGGTGTCTGATCCAAAAACGTAGTGTCAGTCCATCTTTGCATTTTTCTGGGTCGCCAAGACACGTGTCTGATATATCACCAATATCAGCTTGTGCTTGACCCTGGACACTCAGCACACCCAGCTTTGTATCGGCCGTCCCACTAGTACCATTACTAGACAGACTACCACTTCGAGTCTTTCTTTGGTCTGATATGGACGTCCCGTTCGAATCAGACAACATCCAATGCATTGCCTCTGAATATGGAAGTATTACAAGTAGATTATCAAATGCATCGACCTTCGGTGGTGTAGGAATAGTGCAGTCCCCTATCACCTCTAGAGTCTCGGGTGCTATTCAGCCTGGACTCGGCATTGCATGTGAATAGAGTTTCGTTAGGTTTCTCAATGATTGCTTTTCGGATTCTCCAGTTTTCCTCCCTCAGCAAAATCTAACACGCTAGATTCCAAATCGATCTGTGAGTTAGCCGTGCCCTGACTTTGAGCAGCTCAGAGGCTGTGTCATAGTATTGATAAATTTGTGAGCAATGGATAACCGGAGAACCCGGATAAAAGCCCTCGACTCAAGGAAGATAGCTAACGAACTCTACTCGCATGTGTTGAGTAGTCCAGGAATTGCAGCTGAGACCCGAGGAACGTGTTGCCTGTGTTAAGATGGTAGTATTATATATATATTGGTTTCCTGTGTTGGAGTATATATCTTAAATAGACCCTTTCGGCTTGGGCGTAATACTTTGTCCACTTCACTCCACATGTTATTCTCTAGAGTATTATTTCTTTGTTTAATAGTTGTGTATAAGAAGGCACGTGGACATGGATACAACTCAAACGAAGAATCATGTTCTGAAGATAATGGACACGTTGCCTGAAATGGGAAAACATTGTGACCAAGGTAAAGAGGTCTATTCAATCTCCTTTCTAACACAGGGAACCCAATTGCACAAGGGAAGCATTATAATAATGACCAATCTGACTTTATTCTTGACTTGACTTTGAAGATGACTTCCGCTCAGGTTGTCGAAACGTCAGTCCCATCAAACAGTCCTTCTCAGGACTACATCCACCCGGATGATCATGATACAAATATTGTTACTTCGATAAACAATGAAGGGTGCCGAAGCTAAGATCCGTATGGTGATATGCTAATGGGACATATTATAGTGTTTCTCATTAGGACGTCAATCAAGGTGTTTCCATGACATTCCATAGTCACGTGCTCTTGAAATCTTTGTGTTTCCCGACAATGTCATGGAAACACTTTGATTGATGTCCACCAAATTTCTATTTTTTCGCGATGGAAAATTGTACAACTCGTCCAATCCAACATAAAAAATACTTTACCAGCAGCAACGCACACGACTGCGCTTTGTGTTTTGTAATTGTTTCTCGCCAATAGTTCAGGCCATGCAACAATCAGTGATCCAGTCTGAGCATGACAAAAACTTGACATGGAGTAAATTGTTTCATCAGAGAGACGTTTATCCCATGCGTTGAAATTTGTGATGGCGTGACGTCTGATGGCTACATAGACAAGCCCATCCATATTGACGCGACCACCAAACACCAGCTCGCTTGCGTGTGGTATGAGAATACCATGGTTGGTAATGTTTATGGGTGATGAATGAACTAATCTGCCATCCGTGTAGACTTTCAGAGTCGATGATGATGCTACTATGCACCAATTAATGAATTCTGGCCGATGTCTTGACATCACGTTAAATGTTCTGAAAATAGACAAAAATGGTATAAAATGAAACAAACGAGCAAGTAGGCATGAAAATAACAAGTGAATTGTGAATAATGAAAGAACGAATAATGGATGGATGGATGGATGGATGGATGGATGGATGGATGGATGGATGGATGGATGGATGGATGGATAGGTGGATGGATGAATGCATGGATGGACGGAAAGACAGAATACAGGAAGGGAAAGGATCAATAGACGTACGCAATGAT